TTGTTAAGAACTGAATAGAATTAGCAATATAAAGGAAAAACCAGTTTCCTGAATGGACTTTTGACAATTTTCACATGCACTTTATTTCCTCACTGTAGAAAAAACACATTTGTTCTATGTAGATTTAATAATAGACAACAGTGGCCTCATATACTCACAAATGATGGATCTTTGTTCAGGCAAGCATCAATAAACTCCTTAAAGGACTTAGTAAACTCTCCGACAAGAGTTGGAGGATTGCTTTTTGGAATAAGAAACAAAACTCTCATTGGATGCATATCGGAGTTAGGTGGCTCTCCCTTGGCTAGTTCAATAGCAGTAATTCCCAATGACCAAATGTCAGCCTAAGTTTAAGAGAAAGAAAAAAATATCTTGAAATTCCATTCCAAAATACTGCCACAAAATAGCCTGTGGAATTTTAATGGTCACAACAATATTAAAGTGTCTCAAGAAATGTGATTTTAATAAATGTTTTTAATAAAATTCATTTATTTTTAAAAAGTATTAAATTCTCTATATTATGCCAAGTACCACAGTCTAGGCACTGAGGATTCAGGTGGTAATAAACCAGACAAAAATTCCTGCTCTCAAGGGGCTTATGTTCTAGTAGAAGAGACAGATAAATAAATAATATGATGTCAGATGGTGCTAAGTTCTGCGAGGAAAAGAGCTCAGGATAAGGAAATAATGAATGATGGTGTTGAGGGGCTGCAAATTTACACCGGATAGCTAGAGAAGACTATTCTGTGTAGGTAATGCTTAAAGCAGAAAACTGATTGGGAGAAAGGTTATTCCAGATAGAGGGAAGGTAAGTACAAAAGTCCTGAGGCCAAAGTATGCTTGCTGTTTGTGAAACAGCAATCAGGCCACTGTGGCTGAAGCAGATAGAATATAGAGAAGAGTGACATGAGATGAAGCTGGAGAGCTGGACAGGGCAAGATCTAGTGAGCCATGTATGTGATACTACGGACTTTGGATTTTACTCCAAGTTGTGTGGAACAAAATGGAAGGGACTGGGCTTCCAATATTACGAGTATCAGGGAAGTTATAATTTAGCAGCAACATTTGTCATAACTCTAGCTTTAGAAATACTTTAAAATGAAGGTAAATTAAGGCAGTTTATTAAATAGGACAGTATGTTATATAAAACTTATAAAAAACAAAAGTAGACAACGCTTTACTTTTGAGTCATAAGCAGACTGTTGAATAACTTCAGGAGCCATCCAAAATGGTGTTCCCACAAAAGTATTTCTTTTAATTTGTGTATCTGTCAGCTGGCCAGCAACTCCAAAGTCAGCAAGTTTAACATCTCCTTGTTCTGAGAGCAATACATTAGCAGCTAGGAGGGGGGGAAAAGACAATGAAAAAAATCTCAGCTTCCTCAGAATGTACCTATTTTTCTCATGTTCATATTAAATTTTTGTATACCTTTTATGTCTCGGTGGATTTTCTTTTCTGAATGCAGATAGTCCAGACCTTTCAAAATTTCCTTTAGCATGGTTGCGATCTGGAACTCATCAAATGGACCAGCTCGCAGCTTAGGGGGGGGGGGGAATACACACACATACATGTATGAAAATTTAAAACAATAAAATTCAAACTTGATATTATATTCGAAATAAGGGAACCACCTAGATGTACGAAGCAGCTCTGTTTATTAAGCCAATATTTAAATAAATAAGAAAAAATTAAAAGGCGAGGGAAGAAAGTAAAAAAGTTAAGTCAAAGGAATAGAAGGGCTTTTAAATGATTAAATTTAATTGTGAAAGATAATAATACAAGTAGTGTGACCTATATACTAGTTCAAAATCCTGAGGTTTTTAAATATTTACATCAAAAATTTAAGATACACTTACATAATGACAAAACTAGCTTTATTTTTTTATCTGAGAAAAAGGAAATTAGTTACTTAAATTTTTACATTTGTTCAAAAGTTATTAAATATTGCCCGGTTGGTGTGGCTCAGAGGTTGAACGTTGACCCATGAACCAGGCGGACATGGTTTCAATTCCCAGTCAGGGCACATGCCTGGGTTGCTGGCTCGATCCCCAGTAGGTGACGTGCAGGAGGCAGCTGATCCATGATTCTCTCTCATCATTGATGTTTCTATCTCTCTCTCTCTCTCCCTTCCTCTCTCTGAAATAAATAAAAACATTTTAAAAATAAAAACATAGCCCTAGCTGGTTTGGGTCAGTAGATGGTGAGAGCATCGGCCCTCAGACTGAAGGATCCTGGGTTTGATTCCGGTCAAGAGCACGCACCTTGGTTGTAGGCTCAATCCCGGGCTATGGTTGGGGCTCATGTGGGAGATAACTGATCTATGTATTTCTCTCACATCAATGTTTTTCTCTCTCTGTCTCTCCCTCTCTCTTACACTCTCTCCAAAAAATAAATCAATATGGAGAAGTATCCTGGGGTGACGATTGATAAAAATAAAAAATAAATAAAAACTACATTTAAAAAGTTATTAAATATTTACACTGAACTTATTTTTAGCATCAACCCAATTTGATCATATAGTTCAACTGTAGCATAGTTCTTAGCATTTATGTGTTTTAATAACATTGTAAAAGCATAGAGACTTTTGGGGACTCAAACTTAAAATTTAACCAGGAGTATAATAATTAAACTACTCAGACTTTCACAGTTAAAAAAAAAAAAGATCAAATCATGGAATAATACAGTTTTTAAAATAAATGTAACACATTTCCCTTTCTTTCCCCATCCCTGTACCAAAGCCAATAGTTTCGACTGGAATACAAGGGAAGCAATGATTAGGTTTCAGGAGAAGTTGTAATGGAATAACTGAAAATCTCTCTTTAAAATAAATGGTTATTTTAAAATTCTGCTACCTCATAAAGCACAAATAGTAGACTGTACAACATTTACAGGAAAGGGTGGGAAACTAAAATCAGAGCTGAGGTAAAGTTCTGTTTGCTGGAAGGAGGGAAGAGGTGGTGAAAGTCAAACATTGCCCACTCTGCCTCACATTGGTAGGGATTCACAGCCTTTGGCACCTTGTGTATTTCATCTTTCATGAATGCCATATTTATTCCGAATAAAGGGTACTTTCATGTTGAAATTTAACAGCTTAAAATAGAACCCATACTTCGGTCTCACCATTTAATATTAACTGTGGTCTGGATATAGAGTATACTCCAGGCATATCCATAATTCAATAGAAGCCTTTCCTAGGTAACATTACCTATTTACTTTCAAATCTATCAACTTCTACCCCAGAAATTTATATTTAAACAGTAGTGATTAAAGTCATTGTAAATGGTAAAAATTGAATATTATTTTATTGATTATTGGCAATGAAATTCTGATGTACTATCAAATAACTGAAAGACAAACATCATACTACTCAAAATTAGTACTGAGTATCACTGATCACAAAATGTTGATAAGGCCATAAGAGGTATACTCTCAGTTACTTAAGAAATTGGGCAAGGTTCCTATAATGGATACCAGCTATCCCTCTGAAGGACTTCTAAAAAGTCGCCTGGATAAGCCAGTGTACAACCTAAAACGGGATTTAAAAATATATTTAAGTAAAAACAAACAAAAAAGAGGTCCTAAAAATCCATTAGCTTATCTGGGAGGGGAGATTCCGTGGCAGGGAAATGAGAATGGGGTAGTAGTATACTTGAATTTTTATGGCTCATTTCAAGATAGAAAACTATCCCAAACCTGTGGTTAAAATGTTTCCTTAGTCATCTTAATAATGATTAGACAAAGAGGGGGAAAAGGAGTTGGAAAGAGAAGAAAAGTAAAGTAGATGGAATAGAGGGTTTGTTTTTTTGGTGTGTGTGTGCGCGTGTGCGTGTGCGTGTGCGTGTGTGTGTGTGTGTGTGTGTGTGTCTCCCAATGCAACCTTGGGAAAAAGAATGTCTACTGTACTTGGAGTGCATATTTGAACTTCTCTCCAATGACTGAAGATTGTGCCATGTCTCTAATAGCTAATACCTCTGCCTCCAGGGCAGCATACTGGCCTTCGGTAATATGCCTCTGATGTCAACTGAAGATATGCAAGAGAGGGACATTTGTTCTTTCAAAGAATGTATACTTGTGCATTTGGGGATTTTCCCCACAATCATTTGACTTCCAGCCTGTCCCCAGTGCAACATGTTATGTTATGCTTTCTTACAGTTAGCATATTGTTTCTTTTTTTCCTTGGTGCTCATATTTTATTCTATTAACCTTATTATATGTGATTTTGTTGTAAACCACTGCAATTCAATATATATCATATAGTATGCTCAAAGTCTGTTGACATACGACGCATTTTTTCAAGAATGGAAGAGAATCTTGAGGTATAGACTATATAATGTTGACATAAATTAAAAGTCACAGTCATATTCCATTAGTCAGGTACCAGCTTAATGTTAACGATAAACTCTTTCTGTTCAACATCCCTCTTTTTTTTCTCTCTTGTTCCTGGTAGCCTAAGCCTCTAAGCCTAATCCTTTATTAGATTCCTTAAATGATAGTATTCATTTGTACAGGACTATAAATAGAGAAGAAATAGCACATTTTCTCATTATTTGCTCTCTTTACAAAGTCCAGTTAAATTAGATTTATACATAAATCACAATATTATTATATTTTAGAGCTAGAAAAATAAGACTAGAGACTACTAACTTAATTTCTTCAGTTAAGATTTGAGCAAATTAAGGCAGCTAGTCAATGGAAGAACCAAGACTGGAACCTAGGACTCTTGATATTTAGCCACTACAAGGCTAAGAAAAATTTAAGTTCATTGAATTTGTGCTAATTCAAATTTGATTAGGCAGAGGTCAGAATGGCAGGATGAGATTAAGGTCTCACAATCATTTAATTCATAGATTTCATAAAATTGATCAAACTATATCACTGGGGATACAGACTGTGTTAGTTAGGGTTGGGCCAGTGTCTAATGTTTATCATTCTTATCAGTGATCCTGATGAAATCAGTGGACTAGCTTTGTCAATGCCAACTAAGCAGGGAAGAGACATTGTGAGCACCATGGGAGACCAGATAACTTAACTGTGATAAATTTGGAAAGGGCTCTTAATGTATAAAAAGTGGAAGGAGGATCATGGAGCAACTGTAGACTTCTTATGGAGCTAATAAAAAACAAAACAAAACAAAAACTATTGTATAACAAAATTGTGACAAAACGAATAGAAATGAGATTGTTTAACTTCAATACAAGAATGAGATCTCACTCCATATATGAAGGATTATCATACAAAGAAACACCACTTGTGTTCTATCACTAGAGAGAGAACAGAAAAAAGAATGAACTTTAGAATATAAAAATGTATATCACATATTCCACAAGGAAGAATTATTTAACTCAGCTGATTAAACTGAGATGAATTCCTAGGAGGAGATGAAACTCTCCATCAAGTTTAATTACCATTTCTTTAGAATGGTTTAAGAATGGTTCTTTAAAAAAAAAAAGAGAATGGTTCTGTTTAAAGGAAAGAATCTCTTATGGCTATTTCTGTTCATAGGATTATTGGAAACTTTGAGTTACTGGCAGTCAGGATTAAACCCTATTTAAAATATTTAATCATTTTCAGTTAGGAAAACTCATCTCCACTGAAAAAGTAAGAATTAAAATAGTACTTGATGATCTTAGTTTTAGAAGTAGCATATTCTATAATTTCAAAAGCAGAAGCATGCTAATAAAATGTCATATAATATTAAATATAGCTTAGAAATAACTTAGTGCCACTTCTTTGTTTTATATGACATCAAAGTCCAAGGGTTTTATGTGTTTGGTTCACAATGATTTAGTTATGAACAGAGCCAGCTCTATAAACTCAAACTTCCATAGGCCATCCCAGTAGTCATTCACTACACAAAGCTGCCTTTAGTACTTCACATTGAATTTTAAATACAATGCCATTTTAATAAAGATTGTAAAGGGGCAAAAACCAACATCGATAGAATCACAGTAATTTGGCAAAAATAACCAGTATTTCTCAAAGGTGTTTTGGGTGTGAACACATCTTCATTGGGTGGAATTTCTGCACACTGGAATTTTAGCATCCTCATCCCTGTCCACTAAAAGTGCTGCAGCACTTCCAAGTCATTTGACAACCACAAATGCCATCACATTTTCAAAGATCTAAAATCGAGAAGAGAAAACTATAGAGAATGGGATCTATAGGCCTACATGGTCAGAACCCAAGAACCACTTTTAGTGACAGTTACATGAATTACATTATGTTTAAAAATCTAAGAACATTCAGTCTTTTTAGGGATAACCTTACGAAGTAAAACTCTAAACTGACAGCAACTGTCACACACTCATTCCTAAATTGGGGGGCTTGATTTTATTAAGCTATTTGCACTTCTTTTTTTTTTAAATATATTTTATTGATTTTTTACAGAGAGAAAGGGAGAGAGATAGAGAGTTAGAAACATTGATGAGAGAGAAACATCGATCAGCTGCCTCCTGCACATCTCCCACTGGGGATGTGCCCGCAACCCAGGTACATGCCCTTGACCGGAGTCGAACCTGGGACCTTTCAGTCCGCAGGCCGACGCTCTATCCACTGAGCCAAACCGGTTTCGGCTGCACTTCTTATATACTCTAAGAAGGTGAGCAACATGGTCAATCCTGCAATACAACTAAATCTACATAAGGGTAGTGGTCCTGAAGAGATTAATGTGAACATATTAACTAAAGCAATCACTTAGCTTGCCCAAAAGCTGTTGTTTACTCCAATTAAAAAAGAGGTTATAGCATGGATGTGT